CACTACTTTTTTACATTTAACAAATTGATAGAAATGCCGATCAAAATCAGACCGTGTTATCCGTACCATTTATAAATTTATATCCGAATAAATAATTTAATATTCAAGACTGTCTCAATACCTGATGATTACTTTTTAATTATTGAAATCGGACATTCCATTCAAAAGATATTACGAAGTTAAAATAAAAATGCATGCCGGCGGTGGCCGGCCACGCCGCGCAATGAGTATCTAATTTGACTATAGAAGAGCAGTGGGCGCGAACGACATTGAATATTTAGATTTTTATTAAACATTTTTATGCTTCACTTAAAAAGTTCTTTTCAAAGCTACTTTGTTTAGTATTAGGAATCACACTTTGCATAATATTTGTCAAAGTTCTTTTCAGAATTATCGCTTTGACCTTGAATATTTTCTTTTGTATTATTATTAGTTTATTCTTAATTTCTCTGATTTTAAATAAATATCCTTATTTTAAATGTATTATTTTAAAAATATTACCCAAGCGAGATTAGCAAAGTTTGTCGTATTGGAGAGTCTTCCTAAAATGATCATCTGGAAAGTATTATAGTGTAAGTCGCAATCGCAAGCCAGTGAATCTCAGTTTTAACTTTTCTAAATTAAAAAAATATTATTTTTATTTAATTTTAGTTAGAACCCATTATCAGTGTGAGTGATCATTTAAAAAGCGGGTATTTCCCACATTTCGCCGGTGCGATATCTTATCCGTGTTTGCGGCTTTTAACGATATTGCCATCACAAACTATCATTGTATTAAGAAATAAATTATTGTGGATAATTTTCTTTTGTAGTCGCGAGTCAGGTGTTTTTTTGTTCTAGAACGAAATACTACCACATTGTTCCTTGGTTGTTGGCACATTATTTCAGCAATTTTAAGGATAGATAATAATACCCTATATTCGTATATCCAGCATGCAACACAAATCTTATGTGTGTAAAACCCGAAAAATATACATCAATTAGTGTCCAATATTTAGTGACAATCTAAACAAAATAATCGATTAGTAATCATTGATTATTTTGTTTTAGATTGTAAGTAAGTCGCAGCTAATTATGACTGACGCCCGATTATTGATAATCTTGCGTTCATTAAATTAGGTTTTCCCAATCCATAGTAATGATAATGATATAAAATTTTAATTATTGATAACTTTGTATAGTCGTCTATTAGTGATAAAATAATAAAACCAATTTTTTATAAATATAAATATACAAACTTTAAAGACAGGTAAGAATGGCGAATAACCCGGTAGCCTTTCACCGTGATGTCTTTTTGTGAAATCTAATAAAAATAATAATAGTGATGACAGACGACCGGCAAGAGGCAAAAATACTATCCATCCAACCAATAAAGCTAGCTTGACAAGTAATGTAGATGAAACACAATCATTAAACATATCGTGGATTAGGGAATGATAACCATAAACTTATTCACTCAAAGTCTCCACTCTGTTCGTCGTGACACGTTGTAACTACATAATAATATGTAATTATGCAAACGTATAAATCTGACAATCTAGCCAGAGGCCTGACAGTCGGTATTAACATAATAAAATCGTAATGGACGACGCGTAATAACCAACTGAGGAAATCGCTGTTAGATCTCTCTGTACCGGAACTGTGAAATGCGTGGAGACGCTCTCCTTTTACATTAAATAAATAAACTTTATCCTACCGCATACAGTACCGTACTACTGCTTGTTCCCAAAGTGATTTTTTTTTATAATTATGTAGAAACGTAATACGTAGAAGGTTCTTCGGTTATGATCATTGACTCCATTAGCATAAGGGGGTTAAGAGAAATATCGCATAAATATCGAATAATAATCGAGTAATATGTAAAGCGGTGCTTAAGATCTATAAACCAAATGGCGACAACGACGCGAGTGCAGCTAAGTTAAAACAGTGTGGATCTGTAACCGTCTCCACGGCCGGCGGAGTCCAGGCCGCGCCCGGTGGCCGCTAAACAGTGATTTATCACGAATATTCATTTCAACGGCTCGCCTGTCAGATGGCGCGATTAGAGCGCGATTTATGTCGCGTCGCGTCCGCTGCGCGATACCGATGTGTTGCCGATTCATGTCGCCATGTAAGCCGAGGATTATTTGTTGGCTCGTATTGACGGTGGCGAAGCGGAGTTATGGTCGATTGATAGGCAGGCCTTCCTATTTATTTTTCAATGTTTTGTCGACTGTCGACTACTTGCAGTGTCATTATACTCAAAAACGAACCTATTTTATCCATAAATAACGCAAACATTCTGCACATCCCATGCTTATGGAGCGTGAACAAGGACTTTTAAAGATTTTTTTTACAATATATTTACCGCCAACCACAATTCCCCCAATATAAAACATAAGCAATGAAAAGGTGTTCATTTAGATGCCAAAGTATGAATTACCGTTTCAACGTATTTCTTGCGAATACCATAATTAACTAAACATTCGTTTTCACTATATCCATAACGCTTTCGTTGTTGCATAAACTCTATTATTTAAACTGACTTATAAGTAAATAAGTAAGTAGTAATAAGTCTCTTGTGATGTAAGAATAAATTAAAAACGTAATGTATAAGAGCTGCATTAAGGCCCTCTACACACTGTGACGTATCAATCATCTTTCGCCACCCGTCGCGTACCGCACACGATGTTAGGCCGGCTATAAACTGAATTATAATTGATCCTTACGTCTGTAATAACGACAGTAAAAATAGAAAAATGTTTACCTTATTGTAAATAACAATATTTTTAATGTGTCTGTTCCAACTAATACAGTAAAAGTTAATAGAATGACGATGAACTCATACAATATTACATCGTAGGTTAAGGCTTCATGTACACTGCTAGCGTTCACTTTTTTGGTACGCGTGCTGTGGCTCGATATGTATAATTGTTACCTACCTACGCTTTTACTGCCTTCTCATTACAAGGTATGGCGTATTTTTGTGGCACATTTAATTGGTAGGCAAGCAAGAAAACTAGAAAATGAAAAGACAACCAAACTTAGGTACACCTTTGTATAATGATTAACACGTGTGATAGAATTATTTTAAACGCTGAGGGTAACTCTGGGCAGTGAAGCGTAGTGCGTACGGGGCCTTACGAAGCAGTCAAATTAATCTTTCCAAGTACACAGCCATCAATTATCACGGAACGTTAGCGCTGTTTATATTTCCACAGATAAAATATTATCTTTACTTCTTCCGTTTATAAATCTACGGCTTCATTCGGTGAATATTATTTTGGCTTAATAATTAAAACTGCCGATTGAATAGCTTGTCACATGCGACTTTACCATCTAAATATGATTTTTAAACACAACTATTGAATCTTTAAGTCTTTGAGTAATTATATATATATATATATATATATATATATATATAATAGGTAAAACAACAACTTTTGTACTGATTTAGAACAAAAACACTCACTCGTACGAAAAAAATAAAATAAGAATATAAAGGCAGTATAACGCAATTAATAAAAATAAAATTGGTATTTAAATAATAAAAACAAATTGCCAATAAAACATTAAATAAATGTTCGTTATAAAACTTACTGCTGGCGTAGTAAAAATTTATGGCTGCGATATACGATATATCCTAGCTGGGAAATTGCTATGATAATATTTATGAGTTTACGACGTTATAACGACGCGTCACGGCTAAATTATATTTACGATCTAGGTAATGTGTCACACCTTTAAGTTCACACCTCCGTATGAACTGTCCTTATCGCTTATTCTTATATGGCGAATGTTGTAAAAGACTTGTGATACATGAAGTATTAAGTACTAAATGCGTTTGTGTCGACAAATCGTGTGTGAGTAATCAATAATAATGGCGATATTATTCTTCTACAATTACTGCTGTGATCTTTTTACAATCTAATTTTCCACCGCAAAATTCCAATTCTATTTTCCTTAGAGTCGTGGCACAGTGTTATAGGCTGAAAATGCATCTGTTAAAAATGAAGAACCATTCAAACTTTTCCATTTTTTTTTCTGCAAATTAGTAGGTACTATTCTTATTCAACGCGATATACCCTACCGCGCTATCGGGTATTCGTATTGTGCAGCTATTATGCAAAGAAAGCAGACTTCTTACGACGAAGAGACAGGTGACATCACCGTGTTGCGACTAAGGTGTTATTTAGCGAGGCAAATGGCCGGTTTTGTCGTGCCGTCGCGGTCGATAATGTCGTCTGATTATAAGGGAACCGTGTCACTATTACACGAGTAATTGCAGGAAATTACAGTGGGGAAGATGCGGCAGATAGGCAGATGGCGCAACTCTTCATAGAACTGGAGGATACGAATGTAACTGTCTCGTCATCGCCATCAGCCGCATTGTAGATTTAACCGCAAGGACTTCATTTCAAGTTATTGTTACTAGGGTATCATGCCGGAGAGCACGTATCAGAATATACCCAAATATGAATATTGTATTGCACCACCGAGGATTGAACTCCCGACCACTAGATCATTAAAATAACCCTTTAATCGAGAGCTTAAAAAGTGAATTGTAGTATTTCAAAAAGTGATCAATATCGTTACATGTATTTATATTTCATGACCCAAAACTATTTACAGGAAACAAAAGCAAATCGTCTATGGTTTACGCGACTAGTACACATTTAAATAAAACACTTCAACGGTTTAAAACGCGATATGTTAGTTAAACTTCTTTGAAAATTATTTTTAACTTCGGCCCGACGTTTCGGATGCTTTGCAGCAGCCGTGGTCACTGGGAGACTGCTGCAAAGCATCCGAAACGTCGGATAATAAAATCAAATCGTACAATCACCCACCAAATCATGGCTGTACTTTGACAATTTTATTACATTTTATTGAATTACTTATCTATCTGTATGTCTATCACTTTTATAGGAGCAAATTGTTATTCCATGGCGTTTCTGAACGATCACATCAATATTTCCTATCACGCGTAAATCATATGACATCAATCACTAGAACCATAATTATCCGAATATCCTTTTATCACACGTCAATCTGATGTAAGGCTCTGAAAATTAAGTCACATGTGGAATTAATAATGATAATAACTGTTTATTGTGCGCTGACGTCAGATTGTTCTCACTCGTAGATGTAAACAAGTAGTAAAGCTTGTGAAATTATAACGACGAATATTTAGAAAAATAAATTAAGGTGTAATAAATGGATAGTCATACATACCAAGGATAGTGTTCATAGACTTATCGTCGTTTACTACGTTACTTAACCATTTAAAAATGATAGTGATGTGTACTTCATATTCTATGATGTAAACATGATTGTTCTGGTAGCTGCTGCGCGCTGCTGAGTAGAAGTGCTTCTTGTCTTCAAACCTGTAACGTGAAAAACGTGTCATAACTTCAATCTTATCGATTATTGGTAATCACATTAATTAAAAAAATAAGCTCACCTAATCACGGTCAGTGCGATCCATCACTTCAAGAGAAAGATTATTAATAATTATTATTGATAGGCGAGCTATCTGCTACCACGTGATATTTATTAATTTGTCACTTTATCTCCAATCGATATAAATCAAAATATAATGCCCAATTATCAGCTTATTGCGATTTCTTGACAGTTATTGATGGTGGGATTATTCTTTGATAAGGATTTAGTATAATTATAAGGTTTCATGTTAAAAAGAAACTAAGGTAAGAAAGGCGGCATGTCATACAGGTAGGCACTTTATTGAGAGGAAAAAAAGTTGTTTTCCGTATTACTCGCGTCTCTTTAACGATCGCATATTGTCCAGACACGTGTGAATTATATGGATTCATCGAACTGTATGTTTCTTTTTTATTATGTTTATATCTAAAAATGTCAATTTATAATATCCCAAGAGGTCGTGGCGGCTAAATTAGGTTTTTCTGTGATTTAATCCTTTGTTTTTCCCATAAAGTCACATAATAGCACAATATACACATTGTGCACACAGTTCTTTCTTAATAAAAGATATCTTTTCTTTTAACGTTAAATGTTGTAATTTTAGTTACAATATATTATTTTTTAAATAATTAATAAGTACTTACGTATAACGCTTGATAAAATGATCTCGATGAACGTGTTTAAAAAGAAACGAGTAAAATCGACACGTCGCAACCTTCTGCAATGAGTTGTAACATTGACAGATAACAACCATCTGTCGCCTTCAAATTAAGAAAACAAATAAACTAAATAAATTTTTCTTTTTAACCAATTGTATATCAAATTCTTATAACACACGATAGACTTCGTCCGGGGAATGTCGGTAAAAAGCTTGAAACATTATTATGAAGTAAATGCTTTGAAAGCCCGTTTGAATAAATCATTTGATATGATAAAGTGGTCCCATTCTGAGCGCTCATTCATCATTCCTTCGATTGACCCCCTCTTATTAGCTATTTCGCCAAAAATGGTATTGTTTTAAAGGTAAGTATTTTGTGATGAGGTAACATAAATAAAAAAAATCTGGCAAATATTTTCTTGGCGTTTTTTGTTTCTTTGCTTAAACTAATTAATTATTAATTATTTTAAATTAATGTATGGATTTATGGTCTGACAAATAAATTATTATTATTATTAAACTAATTAATAATTAAGAAAAACGTTTCGTCATCGTCGACGATGTAATTAAAATTGGGTTCTGTCAAAATATCATAAAAAGGCTACCTTGAACCCCGTCGACACGTAGACAAGCGGCGAGGCAAAAAGTTTGAGTGACATTTAACGCAAAAAATACTCTCTCAATAATGTGTCTACTGAATAAACATGAGTACGAGGTCTGCGAAGGGTTTTGAAATACATGAGTGGTTTGAGCATCCAATGTTTTCATATTTAAATGTCGTCGCCGCAGATACGTTTCTATCGCAAAATTTACTTTATATGCATTATAATGTCTATACGATATTTATGGAATCAACCTCATGATTTAACTGAATTATTACCATAAGATTAAAAACCAAAGAAGCTACAGTTTAGGTTACGTATTACTTTAACTAATATCTTAAGGCTCCAGTACACGCTCGAAAAGTTAAAACTAAAGAGTAAAAACAGAATTTCATTATTTTGTCAAATAATTACTTCATCGAACACACTTATAAATTATCAGCGTTTATTTATTTTTTTTTTTTTTTGAATTGACTATTACGTATTGTGTTCCTATGGAGCCACGAATACTAACCGGGCGTTTTGGGCGAGCGCGAGAGCGCTCGCCGTGTTTGCGGCTAGACCAAGGGTGCCCCGAGGGGGGCAACGGCCTCGGCTTGGACCGCCGCAATGCGGGTGGGAGCTTGAGGAGCTGGACGGAAGCTCACCCGGGTGAGCGGTACGCGTAGCGAATGACCTCGCCTACGCCGGCGTAGGCGGTTTTGCGGGCGATCGGCACCGGTGTTAGCCGATCGCATAGCGGTAAGTACGTCGACGGCTTTCGTTAAATTGTCGTCGGAATCGGTAAGGACGTTACGCGGCCTTCTCCAGCGTGTATTGATGGGAACGGTGTAGTTGGCGGCCCGGGCCACCAGTGGGTTCGGATGCGTCGCGGCTTTTTTGAAGAAACGCTCGGACGTTTCCTTGAAGTACCGACTGAGGGTCGGTAATTCGAGATCGGCGTGGAGATCTGCATTCCGCACGCACCAGATGGCTCCAGTGGCGGTTCGAGTGAACCGATTCTGAAGCACCTGGAGCCTGTGGAGTGTGCTAGGGGCGGCGTGGGCGAACGCGACGCTGGAGTAGGTGAGAATCGGACGAAAACGTTTATTTTATGCTTCATAGTCTGTACGAAAGACCAAATTACAAGACAACACGATTGTATGTAGAAAAAAAAATTTGACGTTCACATTTGGCAAACACGTTTGACAAATATTTGAACGCGACAACGATGATTGATGGGTTAAATATTATTTGACGAAGACTTGTTTATAATACCCATTTTAATTCCATCGTGTGCACAAGATATGACGGTAATATTAGATATAGTTACGATCTCTCTTCATTTTGGCATCATTATCTAAAATCTTATAAGTATGTACCTACAAATACATCACAAAAAATATGTTGGTCCCACATAAACTCTAACAAGAAAATCATTGCAATGGGACTGAAAAGAGCTCTTTGACCTAACACCTAGACCTCAAAGTGCTCGTTTTAACATTGTTTCGGAGTAATACAAGTTTGATTCGGCCGGGTTGTTTCGATAAACACACGGAGTTGAACGAAACAGTCGTTGCGTTATTATATTGTCCTATTAACAGCTTAAAACATTATGTCAACAGTGAAGATAAAAGTCTCTTTTGACGTAGGCACGAGCGCAGTCGATCGGAACTATATAATATTTACATTAGTCATAGTCACGGGGGGTCTTAAGTATAAAGTTAATCAAATTAGAGTGCTTAGGTAAACTCATTCGCAAACAATCGTTGGCTGCATTTGTAAAAGACGTGAATATAACCAGAACAAAGACGGGAGAGTGAGCTAGTGCAGTAAACAAACGCCCGGTAATTACTCAACACCGGCGGCGGTACGATTGACTTTGATAAAACGCTCAACCCACTTGTTTAGCGCGATTTATTACCTGCGCCCCGCGAGCGACGCTTGCACGTCCTCTCGCGACCCACTAAACTAATCGCAGGTGGTATTTTACCTCCGAAATATTTTCATCGTTAAAGATAGAACACAGATCCAGAGCTTGGCTGGCTCTATACTGAACATTTACAGCTTCTGTATACGACATGGATTATTAAGTTTAGTGTGAATTTTGACATAGGCCTCGTGCAACTGCATCCATTGCGTTCGTTTTATTGCTGTTATTGTTACGTTTATTTATAAGATATATTAATTAGTAAATCTTATCGTCTTTCAATATTACGGGAAATTCAAATCAAAATCATTTATTCATAGATAAATAAATAAATAGGCACACTGCTGGTGGCTCTCATTTAATAACTTATGAGCTTTCAAACCTTTACATTTATTAATCCAGATTCAAAGAACGTAAATTTTTCTTTAAATGAATCGGCTCGGGATCGAATGAAATTGTTAAGTACAGTTAAAGGAAACAGAAGATTTTTATATGCCGCATCCATTTTATGCCGCATCCATGCTCGGACGCGATGATCTATCAAGTTGTCTGCACAAGATTAATGTGAGCAGATGATTGACGATTTGCGTTAGGACGCCGCGGCCGCTCTAATGGTCAATATGAAGCATTATTTGAGCAAACAACTCCTACGCCAATGACAATACACTCAAACAGACATCCTTACATATATATTATTCATTTTGAGAAAACAATCAACATGCTACAACTTTATTTCCCTTCAAATATTGCCATTATAGTAAATTAAACATAGAACAGAAATAATTATTTTGAAACATACAATTAATGGTTATCTTGAAATCGGAGCCAATGAATCATTCGCATAATTTATTGCTTAAAGATAAATCTTTTAACGCTAGATTCGGCCGTGAGAAATGTTAATTAATTACAACGTGAATTGATCGAACGTTTTCAGCTTTCTAAATCTATTTGAAATAAATGAAGACTTAGTTGAAATTACAAAAGCATTGTACTGTTTTTTCATTGACGCTCCACAATTATACTATTCTAGCTTTTCTAGTCCGCTCTGTTACCGCTCTTGATGAGAGGGCTACCGTATATCATAATGGAAATTCAGAAGCATTTTGCTTTTATAAAAATATACAGCTATGAACTGGACAGCCTCCATTTTGTTTTTACCATCATCAACCGCAAATGGAAATAACAAATCGGCTTTGGGCAGCCCTACCTCAGCTGCCTCGGAGTGTCACCGCGCCCCGGGCTGGACGTTAATCAGACTTAGCGCAGTTAACGCAACAAATGCAGTGGCGTAAATAAATGAAGTACAAGACACTCGGCTTGTAGCGATAATGTCGTCACGAGTGCCTTATGAATACTAATTCGATCCATATGTCACTGTTCCTGAAAACTAAAATCACATTTTCAAAGTTTATCCTTTTGGCTTACTTGTATGTATGTTTATTCGATTCGTTCAATAAAGAAGAATTGTATGCTATGCATAGCGCTTAAACGTATAAAATCCTACGACTTAAACCAAAAACAAAATGTTAAATTTAGTAAGTTAAGTTAGGCTACCGAACTGGTAAATAAAAATACATATATTCGTAATAAATAATATTCTTGCAGCACGAGGAAAGGAAGTAATTATCAAAGCAGAAGACATACTAGATAGAGAAACAGTCACAAGAGATCCAAATTTTATTATAAGTAGCAGTTACAGAACAGACTTATTAATGTCATTACTGTCAACACAGTAATGTCGCTAACGAGGGTTTCAAACAGACACACAAAGCAGCGGCCCAGGTCGCAAAAGGGGTGTAGTTTATTAATTAGGGATCAATTCGTTCGTACTGTGTCTCTATATCAGTGTTTTTCTTTTTACATCCAATCCTATATTTAAAACCGATAAGGTGTATACGACGTAAAAGCCAAACGGCATTCATAGTTAGTTTAATTTAATTTCACAACGACCTAAATGCTTCCGATTTCACAAATAAAACCGCGCCAAATACATTACATCAGTCGACAACCCTATTCGGGCACGCCATTCACAACTCGATAATAGAAGCCGACGAAAGGTTGTCGCTCTGTCCGCGAGCTGTCACCGTCGTCTGACAGCGTGACACTGACAACCTGTCTCTTGTCACCGGCCCCGTAATTAGCTAATTGTACAAACTGTCGAATGTTGCCAGACCGACTTGTACGGTCCCCCTCACTTCGTAGAGCTGCATATTGCTCGCCGGAATATTCGCATTACATAATGCGGGTTCCTTCGGCATTGCTGCGTAAGTGTCGCTTTAATTGTTGCCATTTAAATTCTTCTCATTTGTGCAGTGCGTTTGGTGCCGTGGCATTCGAGGCTCGATGATAAAGAGTTATTCTCGAAATTCTCTATGAAACGCTATGAAAATTACAGTATGTGTATATTATGGTGTAATTGCTTTTAGTGAAAACATACTTTAACGTAAACACTGTCTACAGTTTACGCGAGTAGTACACATTTAAATAAAACACTAACGGTAAAATCATTTTCAAATAAATTTAACTAGTATATCGAGTTTTAAACCGTTAAAGTGTTTTATTTAAATACTTAAACGTTCTACATT